CCCCCGCGCCTCGCTCAGCCAGTGAGCGGGAACCGGTCTGTATGTGGGATCCGAACCCTCGGTGGGAGCGCCTCCGCACTTCCCAAGTGGCGCACTAGCGCAGTGCGCCACCGGGCCGGCCCCCCAGTCATCTTTTTTAAAAAAAATAAAAATAAATAAACTGACTGGAGAACTATTATTTGTATTTTCATTACATTAAACACACTGCTAAAAGTCACAGAGTAAAGAAAAGAGCTGAATATGCACAACTCTTAAAGAACCCGGCAGCGTACAGAACCGTCTTGCACACCAGCACTCTCCCTCTCGCCAGGCCTTGGTGAAGACCCAGAATGGGCACTGAAGCACACGAACACTCCCACAGGATCATCCGTGCAATGTGACGGGAAAAAGACATAAGATTAAAATAACTGACAGACACGGCATGAGGAACAAAGAAAACGGTCGGTCACCAACAACTACCAGAATGAAAGTGACAAACGTAGAAAGTGTTCACAGAAAACTGACAGGACTAAGTGAGGAAAACAGGGAACGTCCAGGGAGCACCGGCAGGATGGAGAGAGGAAAACAGGGAATGTCCAGGGAGCACCGGCAGGATGGAGAGAGGAAAACAGGGAACATCCAGGGAGCACCAGCAGGACGGAGAGAGGAAAACAGGGAATGCCCAGGGAGAACGAGCAGGACGGAGAGAGGAAAACAGGGAATGTCCAGGGAGCACCGGCAGGACAGAGTGAGGAAAACAGGGAACGTCCAGGGAGCACCGGCAGGACGGAGAGAGGAAAACAGGGAACGTCCAGGGAGCACCAGCAGGACGGAGAGAGGAAAACAGGGAACGTCCAGGGAGCACCGGCAGGATGGAGAGAGGAAAACAGGGAACATCCAGGGAGCACCAGCAGGACGGAGAGAGGAAAACAGGGAATGCCCAGGGAGAACGAGCAGGACGGAGAGAGGAAAACAGGGAATGTCCAGGGAGCACCGACAGGTCGTAGTGAGGAAAACAGGGAACGTCCAGTGAGAAACAACAGGACGGAGTGAGGAAAACAGGGAACATCCAGGGAGAAACGACAGGACGGAGTGAGGAAAACAGGGAACATCCAGGGAGAACCGATAGATTGTAGTGAAGAAGGGCAGGGAAAGTTCCATGAGAACTGACGGAGTGTGGAAGATAATGGAGGCCTCAGATCACATACGGCCCAGACTGAGCATCCTCTGTCCTCACTTCATTCGCTTCCATACACCTTTTGTCACCTCAGCTACACCCAAGTGCATCTGTTCTTAATTTTCAGACACTTAAACGCTAAAACTGATTCTGATAAAGATAATAAATCACGTGGCCGCACAATAGTATTTCACCAACCACAGATCCCCATGAGACAGTGGCAACAACACCAAGTTACCACTGAGTGTCCAGAGCAGAGTGTGAGAAACAGTCTAACCCTAGAGCATGTCAAAGTTTAACAAAGTTCTGCTGTTTATTGCTGCTTTATACTTAAATTTTGAGCTTATATTTATGAGACTACTGAGGAAATTGAATACCAACTTCATATTTGATGTCATTTAGAAATTATTACCAATAGTTTTATTTTAGAGATACTTTTCTTTCATTGATTCATACTGATATATTTATGGAAGACAAGTTATAATGATTGGAATTTGTTTCAAAATAACCGATGTGGTAGGAGGGTGGGGCAGGGTGGTCAGATGAGACAATTCTGCCATGAGGTGACACCTATGAAGTACCTGGGACTTCACAATACTGTTCCCTTTATCTTCCTATGTATTTTGAAAATTTTTATAAACAGTTTAAAAATGAGTTTATTTTTAAATACCCTAGATTTATAATTGCCTTGCAACTTAGTATGGATGGTTTTTGTCTATACTTATTTTTAAATGTAAGAAATTAATATTAAAGTGTAGACTCTAATTACAAGTGCATAGAAAAAAATAAACCAAAAAGTCCCCCCGAAACAAACAAACAAAGAAACAAAAATGAAGACAAGTACACAGAAAGTCCTTCTAGTGATATACATTTACCTGGTGTCATTTCGCATATAGGGCTTCATGAACGTACCACTGATAATCCGTATGAAAATAATACCTGAAAATGAATAACTGGTTCTGATTTGTCTAAGCACAAAGACTCCAAGGTTTTAGCAGCTACTATGTTTCTATGTAAAATGAAACTTTAAGCCCTTACACGTAGAATAGAATGTATAACGAGAAGTATACCTGACAAGCCACCCGGAGAAAGCTTGATAACCTTGGAGTATCAATCTTTGGTACAACTGTAGTATCAGAGAGATCCTTTATTTCACTACCTAAAAAAAATAGGTTATATAAAATCAACAAAGTTGACTCTAAAACAGTCATGCATTGCACATCTTACCGCTCAAACATGTGTTACAAATGAACATTAAGAGTCCTGGAAGGACAAGTCAGAAAATTTAACACTGTATTCTCTAGATCTACTAGTGATTTTTTCCAAAAACAACTGTATATTGCTCTGTGAAATTCTGTAAACTGAATCCTACTTAAATGCATTAAAGAAAACAGCGAAAGGCATCAATGAAATTATTACTTAAGTTTAAGTATATTACTTTTTTAAGGTGAGGCTTACCCTAGGAAAGGAAGTAATATAATTCTCTGCCATACAGAGATAATTCCTCAAGAAAAACAATCAACTAGTAAAGTATTTAACATGTAAATAGCTCAGCGTACCTAGCAGAAACCATGTATTCTAGGGACTTTATCTGTTTTGAAGGAACATATTTGCAAACTGCCTAAAAACACGAAAGTTTTATATTCATGAGAACAGACCGTCCCCATGTTAAGAGCAGCGTATGTTCCAAAAGTCCAGTTGTACAGTGGCGGTTTGGAATGTGTATGTTTAGAAATAAAAAATGTTATAAATCCTAGTCTGTTCTTTTAAAAGGATATTGGGTATTTGCATAGTCATATACTAACAACCACATTAAGAGAAAGACATAATGAGAAAGAACAAGATAGGTAATAAGTAATAAACAAAACAAAAAATACGTATAAAGACACTTGACAGCAAAAAGATACTACTACCTCCAGACACAATAGCACTTTCTCCTGGATGCTGGGTCCACACTTCCCTGGTGTCTATTTCTTCAGTTTGAATGTCTCTTTCAACATTATCTTCATTACATTGAACATATGCCTTAAAAACAAAGGTATGCTGGAATTAACATTGGGTCCCAATTTTAGAGTAATTTGTCATTACTGAAAATAAAAACAATTACAATTTTTTAAAAGTTAATAATGACAGCATTCTTGCTTATGTCAGAAATAAGTGTCATAGCATAAATAACAATCATGCAAAGACTACTTGTGTGTTAAACGTTTGATATATATAGGTCTGATTTTCAAAAGTGTTTTCAAAAAGGCACATCAAACAATTTAGCTTCACTGTGAAATACTACCACCTAGCCTACCCACATCTTATTCTCTTAGAAAGTACTAGCATTGCAAAAGCAAACAATTTTTTATTTCAAAAAGGTACATGCTTTAATGAAGACAGTTTTGATACTAATAGCTTCGATATGAAGAAAACAAGCACAGTTGTTAGACAATCTACTCAAGGTCAGATCAAAGCGAATCAGCTATAAAACCAGGATTAAAGCTGTCAGCTTCTCCAGTTTCATGCTGTGACCTTCCTCCCGTTAACATTCTTTATGGAGTGTCCCAAACACACGATGTTAAGACCGATGGTACCACTACCAGGGACATAAGAAAAATGTAAGTTATGATGTCTAACTTCAAGAACTTTATAACCTTGTCGTCAAGTTAGACTATCATATAACTAACGGCTAGAAACACTGTAGGGAAGTACAAAATTGTTTGGGAATAATGTAGCAACTCTAAAATAAGAGAATTCAGTGTAAATCGGTAGAGAAGGGTTCACCCAGAGAACGAGCTGTGGCCACTGGCTAGAAACACTGTAGGGAAGTACAAAATTGTATGGGAATAATGTAGCAACTCTGGAATAAGAGAATTCAGTGTAAATCGGTAGAGAAGGGTTCACCCAGAGAACGAGCTGTGGCCACTGAGGAATAACAGGTAGATAAGACAGAAGGGGAGGTGGAAGGTGACAGAGTAGCCTGGCACACTGAGAGACCAGTGAGTGAAGGGAGCTGTAGAATCAGGTATGATCAGATATCAAAGTGGGTCCAAACATGCAGAAAGAGAAATCAAGAAAGCCTGCCCATTTACAATAGCCACCAAAAAAATAAAATACTTAGGAATTGAGCTAACCAAGGATGTGAAAAATCTCTATAATGAGAACTACAAATCACTGCTGAGAGAAATTAAAGAGGATACAAGAAGATGGAGAGATATCCCATGCTCTTGGATTGGAAGAATCAATATAGTGAAAATGGCCATACTACCCAAAGTGATATACAAATTCAACGCAATCCCCATCAAAATTCCAATGACATTTTTCTCAGAAATGGAAAGAATTAGCCAGACATTTGTATGGAATAACAAAAGACCACACATAGCCAAAGCAATGCAGAGCAAAAAAAATAAAGCTGGAGGCATAACACTACCTGACTTTAAACTATACTACAAAGCTATAAAGAATTATATTAAGTGAAACAAGTCAGGCACAGAAAGAGAAATACCATATGTTCTCACTTATTGGTGGGAGCTAAAAATAAATAAATAAATTCACACGTCGTATAACTTCGTATAATGTATGCTATACGAAGTTATTACGCTGACTTTAAACTATACTACAAAGCTATAAAGAATTATATTAAGTGAAACAAGTCAGGCACAGAAAGAGAAATACCATATGTTCTCACTTATTGGTGGGAGCTAAAAATAAATAAATAAATTCACACGTCGTATAACTTCGTATAATGTATGCTATACGAAGTTATTACGCTGACTTTAAACTATACTACAAAGCTATAAAGAATTATATTAAGTGAAACAAGTCAGGCACAGAAAGAGAAATACCATATGTTCTCACTTATTGGTGGGAGCTAAAAATAAATAAATAAATTCACACGTCGTATAACTTCGTATAATGTATGCTATACGAAGTTATTACGCTGACTTTAAACTATACTACAAAGCTATAAAGAATTATATTAAGTGAAACAAGTCAGGCACAGAAAGAGAAATACCATATGTTCTCACTTATTGGTGGGAGCTAAAAATAAATAAATAAATTCACACGCACACACAAAAAATCCAGGGGGGTGGGGGGGGAGAAGACTTAACAACTACAACTCCTTGAAGTTGATATGACAAGCAAACAGAAAGGACATTGTTGGGTGGGAGGGGGGAGAGGGAGGAGGGAGGGGGGTTTCGGTAATGGGCCACAATAATCAACTTCATTGTATATCAACAAAATAAAATTAAGAAAAAAATAATAATAAAATAAAATAAACAAAGTGGGTCCAGATTAGGGAGAGCTCGAGAAGTATTACATACTTCGAAATGTTTGAATTCTAAGGATTTCATACTGACAAGTAGGACTGTTACGTCCTCATGTGGAACCCAAGAAACAAATCCAAACTTGACATTTTGTTTGACTTTGAATAAAACACTTGGGTTACCTAAAGCTATGCTCAAAGGTTGGGAACGCAGCTCCCCCATCTGTAACCCGTTACACATGGATCGTTCATCCAAGCCCCGGAAGGCTTTTGGAATATCTTTTGACTCTGCATTTGCATAATCTCTCTAGGGGAATGAATACCATGTGATGAAGGGTAGGTACCCTTTTCCCTTAAATCTACATCCTTCACAGATCATTATCAAGTTCTAAGATTCTGGAATAAGATACAGGAAAACACAAACATCTTATTATACTTGACTTGCATTTTGTCACTCAGTCAATACATCTTGTACTAACCTGCTTGGTATTTTTTTTCCCAAAGTTTCTGATATACATATCATATTCATTTACTGGTGGTAGATCCAAGAGAGAGAAAGTGAATGAAAAATCTAAGTCAATAAGCCGAAGCAGTTTTGTACTTCGAGTCCTTTAAATAAATTGGAAAGAAGACAAAAGTTAAGTTGAATAATATACACGGGAAGTGTAGGGTAACAGAAGGAAACTTAACGGTTCGATGCAGCTTATTGTCAAGGACCTAACTTTTGTGTGGGTGGGAGTCTGAGGTATTTAATAGTGGTCAAAAATCAGTAAAAGACTTGTCACACAGGGACCAGTGATGTGAGCATATCGTGAACAGAGCATATGATTATTCCAGTGCAGCGCACCTGAGTGAACACAGAATAGGGCTGTAGTGTGCAGCCCACAGCTTCATCAACAGCAGTTCACTTTATTTCATGAGTCAGCATGTCCTGGCTGGCAGGATTACATTTTCAGTATCATCTGGGCTGGCGTCAGGCTGTCAGACCACACTCTTCTTGAGAGGACCTCTGTGTTCTCACAGACTTGGACCTACAGGCAGCGTCTGGCTCAGTTGTCACCCTCCTGCCCCACCGGCTTCCAAACACCACACCCACGTGGTCTCCTCTTGCCTCTTTGCTGGTTTCTCTTTTCCTTCCAGACTCCTTGACGTTAGTGCGCAGGGGATCGATCCTTAGGAAAGTGACAGTCTGTCACACCCACTAGACCGTAAACCCTGCAAGGGCAGAGGTCTTTCTTTCTTTCATTTACTATTATTTCCACACAGCTGGTGCTCAACACATACACACTGAATGCATGAATGAATGGAGGATCCTTCCAGCGTCCCAGCATCTCCATAGCCTGATTTGCTCCGCTGTCCCTCTCCCTTCCGCCGCCCTCTCCCCTCCCTTCTCTACTCACTCTTAGGGTCTTCACCAATAACTGTCGCCTTCCCACAATCTTGTCCTCTAGCCACCATCTCCTGTCTTTCTGACTTCCAGGCCACTGTTTTTTTTTTTTTTTTTGCAGCTGGCTGGTATGGGGATCTAACCCCTGACCTTGGTGGTATAGTACCACACTCTAACCAACTGAGCTAACCAGCCAGCCCTCTCTCTCCAAAAATCCTTCAACCACATGGCACCTGCAAGAGCAGATGCTCCCACTTCCATGGTCTCCCGCCGTGCTCACTGACCGCACGTGGGGCAAGGCAGGGCTCAGGATCCTCTGTCTCCATAGGCATATCTAATTGTTTCAGCATAGTTCCTGGAAGGGAATCCTCCTGTCTCCACCACACTGCAGTGGCATTGGTAGGTCAGGTGACGATACGCACAGGACTCTGCTTCTGGACTCCCTGCCTTGTGCATTGGTCTATTCGGTCATCCTTGCAGCAGTGACAGTTTAATTACCGCAGCTTTATAATAAATACTGATATCTGAGCTTAAGTCCTCTGACTTTGTTTTTCAATATTGTCTTTGCTCTTTTTGACCCTTTGCATTTCCATATAAATTTTAGAACCAGCGTTCTAAAATGTGTGAATTTACAGACACATGACCCTGCTGAGATTTTTACTGGAACAGCACTGAATCTACTTACTTTGGGAGAAACTGACATCTTTGCTCTATTAAGACTTCCAATTTATGAACATGATATGCTACCCATTTATGTAGATTTTCCTAGATGTCAGTAATATCTGTTAAGTTTTTTGTATTGAAGTCTTGCATATCTTCCATCACATCCATCCTAATCCTATTGTAAATGGTGAAATTTATATATTTTTCACTAGTATATAGAGATACAATTGACTGCTGTATATTGACTGCCTTTTTACCCTGTATCTTTCCCAAATTCACTCATTACTTAGTTAGTCATAAGTTTTAGAGCTTACCTGTAGATTTTTAAATTTCTGTGTACACAATCATCTTGTGAGTGAATAATAGTTTTACTTTTTCTTAAACTTATAATTTTTATTTCTTTTTCTTGCCTTAGGCTGGCTAGAATCTTGCACAATGTTGAACAGAAGTGATGACAGTAGATATTACAAGCTCATTACAAATCTGAGAGGAAAGCTTCCAACAGCTCTTATGTTAGCTGTAGAATTTTTATAGATATATTTTGTCACATAAAGGAAATTCCCTTCAGTCCTAGTTTGCTAAAAATTGTCGTGAATGGATACTGAATTTTTTCAAATTTTTTCCTGCATCTATCAAGATGACTATGTAGTGTTTCTCTTTTATTCTACTATAACGATGAATCACATGATTCGTTTTTGAATGTTAAACCAATCTTGCATCCTAATTATTAGGCATCACTGATTAGGTGTCCCTGTGAGACCACTGATTTTTGGTGTCAGACTGACTGCATTAAGGGATACCCAGACAGCTGGAAAGCATTATTTATTCTCAGTGTTCTCGTTGTTTATCACCAGCAGGCTCTCAGCCTGTCCCTGTTCTGCTGAACGGGAAGCCTGGGTGGCCTGGTGTTTGATTAGAATGACTGAGCTGCCCCAGGTGTGTCTGTGGGCTGTTCCCAGAGGAGCTGGCAGACTGAGTGGGGGAGATCCACCCTCAGTGCGAGTGGGCACCATCCATCAGCTGAGAACCAGGATGGAACCAAAAGGTGGAGAGGGCGAATTCTCTCCTCTCTTCCAGACCCAGGATGCCCCTTTTCTTCTGCCCTTGGGCATCAAAACTCCAGGTTCTCCCATGTTTGGACTCTGGGACTTGCACCAGCTTGGACTTGGGCTGAGCCACGCTATCTGCTCCCTGGTTCTCCAGCTTGCAGACGACCTATCGTGGGACTTCTCAGCCTCCATAATCATCTGAGCCAATTCCCCTAATAAGTCCCTTGTCATATAGCTCTCTCTATATATCCTATCGGTTCTGCCTTTATGGGCAACCATGACTAAAACGTACTGGATTCAATGTGCTTATGTTTTAGGGATTTATGAGAAATATTTGTCTGTAATTCTCCGCTCTTCTTTATTAAATTTTGGTATCAAGGTTTGGCTAGCCTCCTAAAACAAGTTGGAAAGTGGGGCTTCTTTTCCTATTCCCTGGAATTTTTGAAGGTAGGAGTTATTTCTTCCTCAAATGTTTAGAAGACTCCTCCAGATAAGCCATCTATAAGCCTGTGGTTTAATTTGTGGAAACGTACTAAGTACATTTCATAAATACAGAACAATTCAAATTTTCTATTGCTTCTAGGATCTATTGCGATAAGTTGTGTGTTTCTTTTTTTTTTTTTTTTTTTTTGTCTTTTTCCGTGTCTGGCAACGGATCGCAACCCTCAGTGTCACCCCCGCACCGGACCGGGACCGGCAACGGGACCGCAACCCTCGGTGTTGCTCCCGCGCCTCGCTCAGCCAGTGAGCGGGAACCGGTCTGTATGTGGGATCTGAACCCTCGGGCGGGAGCGCCGCCGCGCTTCCCAAGCAGCGCACTATCCAGTGCGCCACTGGGCCGGCCCCAAGTTGTGTGTTTCTAAGAGTTCATTCATTTCACCTAAATTTCTGACATAAAGTTGTTTATACCACCACCTTATTATCGTTTCACCATTTGCAGGATCTGTAAAATGACCCCTTTTTCACTCCTGCTGTTGATTATTTGTGTTTCTCTCTCCCCTTGATCAGACTTCCTAGGAATTTATAAGTTTTATGAATCTTTTCAAAAAATTAACTCTTGCTTTATTGAAATTATTGCAACTGCTTTCAATTTTATAGATTTCTGCTCTTACCTGTTATTTCATTCCTTCTAATTTCTAATTTACTGCTCTTTTTCCAGCCTCTTGAGATGGATGTCTAGATCACCGATTTTCAGCCTTTTCCTTTTCTAACATGTGTCTTTTGGTACAGATTTAGCTGCATCCCATGGCACAGGTTTGAAAGTGCTGACTTTCCTTATCACTGTTAAAAAGTTTGTAATTCTCTGTTTGATTTCTTCTTTGACCTATGGTTTATTTTAAAGTATACTGCTTGATTTTCAAGCTTTTGGGAATTTTCTAGTTACCTTTTTATTATTGTTTTTTAGCTTAATTACACCGTGGTCAGAAAACACTCTGTATAATTTCAATCCCATGTCCACAGTTTTTGATAAGTGTTTCATACACACCCGAAAAGGATAGGGATGTTGCAATTGTTGAGTATAATTTTCAAAGTACATTAGGTGTACTTTGTTAACCAGGTTAAGTCATATATCTCCAATAAATTTTTGTCTCCACTAAATTTCTATCAGCTACAAAAAAAGGCATATTACAAATCTCCAACTGTGTTTGTGGATATGTCCATTTCTCCTTGTGTTTCTGTCGGGCTTTGTTACATATATTTTGTAAAGCTCTTACTGGGTACACACAGAGTGGGATTGTTAGACTCACCGGCTGAACTGAGCCTTCTAACATTATGACATGACTCTCTCCATATATACTAGTCTTCCTTCAGTTTCTTTCTCTGATATTAGTGGCATCAGTATTATTTTGATTAGTGTTTGCTTGGTATATCTTTTTCCAGACATTTGCTTTCAACCTTCTGTGTCCTGATATATTAGGTTTGTCTCTTGAAAGCAACATATACTTAAGTTCTTTTTTTCCAGTTGTACAATCTTTGTCTTATGATTGAATTGTTTAGTTCATTGATATATAATGTAGTTACTGATATATTTTGGTTTAATCTACCATCTTTCCATGTCCTTTATTCCTTTGTTTTTACTTTCTTGCCTAGTTTTGGGTTAATCATATTTTTTAATTATTCTATTTACCTATTCGCTTGTTATAAATTTTTTCCATTATCTTTTAATGGGTATCCTAGATATTACAACATGCACTGTTGACCTATTAAAATCTACCTTAAATTAAGCCCTTTACCTCTGTTTTAGTCCATGTGTGTTGCTATAACAGAATTACCTGAGACTGGATAATTTATAAAGAACAAAGGTTTATTTGCCTTATGATTCTGGGACAGATGCATCTGACACAGGCCTCAGGCTGCTTCTACTCATGGTGGAAAGTGGCAGGCAGTGGCGGGTACAAGCTGATCACATGGCGAGAGCAAGCAAGAGAGAAGCGGGGGAGGTGCCGGGGTCTTTTAAGCAACCAGCTCTTGCAGGAACTAACTGAGGAGCGAGAACTCACTCACTACCC